CGGTTAGCGTGTCACATAGTTTCGGTGGTTCACAGTTTGAGTTTCCAAATTATTTATTCACCGGGTAAAACCAACAGGACAAAACATGGAAATGGAGAGTGATGGAGACCATCGATAGAGAATGAAATGGGACGGAATCAAAATCACGCCTAGAAGTGAGAACCTACCCCCCCCCCTCTTGAATATCATCGACCAAAGACAAGCCATTGATCATCTGAAGTTCAATAGGCCCCTTTGCCCACGCCTAAAGGACAACATTTGTAATCGACTCCGTGAAGGGACGACGATCTCTAGCCGACTGAGGGGTGAGAAAAATGTTCGGAACGAAATCCCCTGGTCCAACGAGAAGCAAAATCGACAATCGGGAGTGATCAGAATAGATTGAGTGAAGAAGAAAAAAACAATCCGTGCACTCCGGACATATCCATCGAACGTTGAATCGAATATACAAAGGATTGAGAAAATGTTTCCCATTTATCGAGCGTAACTCTCTAAAACTATTTTCCGAATAAAGTAAAAAGGTGTACAACTAATGACAATTGGAAGCACGAAGTGCGTATCAACTGCAGTGAGGTCATGCGTACACAGTTGTCTGCTACACCATGTAGTGTTCTTGCTCTCTCCCTCTCTCTCTCTCTCTCACGAAAAACGGATCATAAAATGTAGTGTCTGGATAAGACCGAGGAAAAAGCTATTTGCAGTCAAATTATACAGCGAAATAAATGTATTCAAGTTACTATGGCAGCTCTTTGATTGGACACTTTCCTCTTCTGGAAATAGTGTCTTCGTATACTCAACAAAAAGAAGTAAAAATGATTGAAAAAATTAAAAATTGATGTGCCATTTCACTTTATCGTCATCAGACACGGTACATTTTTCCGTTTGTACAGCTGTGATTTTCCACAAATTGCAAGTTCTTTAACCCCACCCCAATAGTCTTAGGTCATTGGTTGAAGCAGTAACATTTGCTTGTATTGACTGACAAACAATGGTGCGGATAAATGTTTCATCCTTGTCATATATCGCGTCATGAGTGCACGTGATTATTTATCCATTCAAATTTCATTGGTTCATATTCCCGGCTTGCTATTGGTCATCCTGAAAGTGGCATAGTTTCAGAGCGTTGGATCACCACGGTATTACTCTGCTGCGTTGCTAAGTATCCTGAGTGACAGACACTGGAGGCTAACACTAACAAGGGTCCGAGCAGTTTCTCGCAAAATGCGATATCAGTCAAGTGGATAGTATGCTTGCGTTCCACCTGTGTTGTGATCCCGAGTTCGCGATCTTCAGTTCGTTTGATGGATTCGAAATGTTGATGAGACCGAACCAGATCAAGATAGCTGTACACTGAGTGCTGTTCCCCCCGGTTGGGTTCATGCACGCGACGGGTTTCATTGCACCAGTTCGACAGGATTCAATTAAAAGGAATTACGAGATACTGCGATTAACCGAAAAATCTTTGAGACACATCACTACACCGAGGTGAAACAGGTAAATAAGCTCGAAATTCAACTGTGAATGTTATGGTGTTAGTAACACAGCGATGTCGGTAGAGAATTATATTCGCCGACGTTTCGGTCAGCGTGGGTAACCTTTCTCAAGGCAGATTTTACAATCAATTAACACAATAACATTCACAATAAAACAGCATATGGTGCATCGATTTTTCGATACACTCCTAACATCATTTGGTCCCGATGTTTCGAAATTAAACAGTTCAAACTCCTCTAAGTGAATCAATGATAGGACAGTGCTCAAGTGTTTCATCACTCAGCCACAAGCTGAGAACAAAACAATTCTAACTTGACATTTGGCTCCAAAAGACCATATTCACAAATTCTTCAAAAGGACTTTAACGGAAAGTAAAATGCCACATTGAATCAATGAAAAGAGGAAATATGTACCATTGTATTACAACCATATTCGATGGAGGCAGTTGAAAAACAACTGAGGTACCGCTCAAGACGCAGAGAACTAGCATTTATGGAATTGGGGTGAGATACGAATGGAGTGGAGTGGGGTGAAAATGAAAGTAAATCGTCTTGGCACAACCGATCAAAGCGAAAGAAGGGAGAGAAACAAGCCATCCATAATGAAAATAGTAACCCCAGTCGATTACCAATGAGTAAAGTTCAAGTGCACCAAAAGGGATACAGCCGGAGGAGCGGAATCAGTTCGATCAACGGCCACGACAACGGTGTGGATACACATCCATTGAAATTGAAATACATCACTGTTAGATCACATTGGTCATTCAGAGTGAGACCGGAATCAATACTCGATTAGCATCTTCGGGGGTCATATCTATGCCTAACTGTATTCTAGTTTTTCTTCAGTACAGTAGACATACACAGGTATATTGAAGAGATAGATAGAAGGATGGTAAAAATCGAGCAATTGAACCGTATAAGTACAGTCAATCTCCTGCTATGTCGCACCCCTCGGGAATTCGAAAAAATGGGTAGATTCCGGGAACTACGACATAGCGTGTTAGTCAGTAGTAGATGCTATTAAGTAGCATGAAAAATCGGTTGAGAGTTTTGTGACAAAATAAACCGGATCGATGAAAATTACGTTACTTCCGTTACTTGTTCCCAATGTTTATAATTATGTACTGGTTAGTTACAATGAAATTTAGATATACCGTCCTGTGTATCATTCATTTATCCAAGAGATTGAAATCTTTTAATATTAGTACATTGCATCCGGTATTCAGCCCTTTTGCAGTTTCATACGTCTAGTTATACCGAAACTACCTACTCTTCTCTAATGGAATTTTAGCTAACCCCAATCATCTCATATTAATTCCAGATGATTCTCCATTCATTTGCAATGTCAAGCTAACCACAGAATTGAGTATATGGAGTCCACCACGACTGTTTTACCGAATTTAATCACACCATCAATACCAACTCATTCGATGAAAACAAGAATGAGTTAGATGGAACACGGTACAAAAAATTGCATTCGACGGAAATCAGATCATCTAAAATAAGTTAAATATCTGCTACGGGGTATTCACAGCACACGAATTTATTTCTCATATTCCAAACTGATTGCTCGCTGTGCAATCAATTCACGATTTTCTGGTTAAAAATATGTAGCAATAACTCTGTAGAAGTCCAATCGTTCGTTTGCTTCTAGTTGTTGTCAGTGTATGTTCCGACCGATTGATACATTCGTTATTGGTAAGCGTCGGTAAACATAACTGACGGATCAAGTTCAACACTTGATTCACAAATCTGAAGTGTATTGCTCAAACAGTCAGGTGTGCGTCAGACCCAGGTTATGATGACCTCTGACCCATGCTCTGTCTGATTTCATCGATTGTCTAACACGGACAAGTGCAATTATCGATCAGTACGTACGGATGCACAGACACCCAAGCTTTCTTGACCAGACGCATGCCCATGAGGATGTTCACTTCGGATTTCATGTTAAGTTGGTCATCTTCGATCAAAGACAAAACACATTCCAGTAAATGTTTATGAAAGGAAAATTTGAAAGACCAAATCACACCCTGAGCCGCTGGTTGTAACATGGAAGAACAGTTCAAAGGTAGCCGTTCTGATCTGAATACTGCGGTTTTTTATGGTAAGGGGCGTTATTTATAAAAAAATAAAATACGTCTTTCGGTAGACGTCTTACAGCTAACTGTGAAATAATGGAAAAGTCATTCATGGGTTCGTTGAAGAATAATGACTGCAGGGAACGCTTTTACTATTTATACCTCGGAGATATCGTGGAGTTTGAAACCAACGATGTCAATCTTTCTCCAGTAGTGCATTCACAAAGCAGTAATGTAACTCTTGGATCCAGAAAGTGTTTTTCCTTTGAGACTTAATGTTCTTTCTGGGAGCTGTTTGTAATTCAAGGCTGGTTCTTCTGAATTGAAAATATCACTTTCCCCTTAAACTCATGAAGTAAAGCACGTGAGTAGTTGCCTATATCTTATTTTGTAGGACTGAATAACACATCTGTCTAACCAAGAGCGAAAACAACTTTTGGAAGCCTTGAAGTCACTATGATACATTCTTTGTGCTAACTGGATTGCCTTCTTACAAATGGTGATTTCCATCACGGGGAACTCCTCGTGCTTTTCCCTTAGAGCAGTAAACCAAGCCAAGTTTGCCTCATTCGCTGTCTCGAAATTGTCCTTGCTTTTCAGGCGGCATCATTCCTGAGATGCACCAGTGTTCACAAACTGTCCGGTAGCGGTTCGATGGGATATAACACAGTTTCTTCTTGAAATACCAAGTGATTCGGCTATGGAGCTCTGAGTTGCCCTTGGCTGATTCAACATTTCCGACACGTTCTGATCGATGGGCGATCGCACATTTTGAAGTAAAGTGACAGTCTTCGATTGCTGGCATCGGTGCGTCTTCCTCGCTAAAATTATCCAATCAGTAGACAGTGTTATGTTCGCGTCACATTAGGTGAAACGTCATTTGCTGTGACATTGCATGTTGGCTGGCTAATGGCTGTTCCGAACATCGGTCAACGACCAAGTGAG